TTTGTCATTTTATATTGCATTCTCAGCTATCTTTTATCAAACATTATTAATTCATAAGATTGTTTATTAGTTAACAGCTAGTTTTTCAGCAAGTTTGTCAAACATGATAATATTTAGTAAGGTGATGTTTGTTTTTTTGAAGCAAAAATCCATAAAGTCTGCGGACCACATCTGCAACCCTCTGCAGTAGAAGAGGTAGACCAAACGGTTGCAGACTGTAATAAGAAGTTTGTTTGTTTTTTTTAACATTTATATGTTGCTGCAGATATTAAAAAATTAAAATAAACTGATTTTATAATTCGAAAATAGTTTTTTAATACCGAAAATTTAATAATGTATGACATTTCGGCAAAAATTTATGATATTTCAACAAAAAAATAATGATATTTTAACAAAAAAATAAAGATATTTTAGCATAAAATAATGATATTTCATCAACAAATTATTATTATTCAATATAAAAAAAAATTCAACAAGAATAAACAAAAAAAACGAAAAAAATGTGAAATAAGATTTTAGTAAGAAAAAAAGAAGAGGTTGTAAGAGGTATTAAGAGACAAAACAAGTGTTGCGCCAAGAAGAACACGAGCAGATGTTTTTTAATCCGAAGACTTCTGAAAAACAAACAAGTACGGGATGAAAAGTGTTGTGCGTGTACTGCACCGCGCAACAATAAGAGGTCGGAAGAGGTTTTTTCAAAAAACAAATATCACCTAAGACACAAAAGTAACTTATCGGCTAATTTTTTTTTATTGAAGTAGCTCTAAACAGGTTATTGATCAGTTTGTACGCCAAATAGATCTAAAGAAACTTATATGAAGATAATTAGGAATTATTGGTAAAAACGGCTGTACATAGTTGTCATTATATATTTATTATTTTTATATTTTTATATTTGATAATGTATGATGTATGATTTAGCTATATTCTGTTATTATTATCAAATAATTTAGGTATCCTTGATATAAAATAAAAATGCACTAGAACCGTATATCAACGTCTTATTCCTAAAGGTTACAATCGTAATTTACGCGGCAACACGGGTTCTCTGTTGTGCTCAGCCACCTATATAAATACCCCTTTGCCCTATTATTCTAATCACTCAAATTTCTGAATTCTCTCAAAAACTCAATTTAGGGTTTTAAATTCGATCTTCTCATCTATTACATTTCCTTTTACCTAATTACAATCCCAACTAATCGGTATGTTGTTCAGTCCCTCAATCTAATTCTCCCTTTTTAGAATTATATTTTGTTATTAATTCGGTTGATCAAAGGTTTCTTCCTGCAATTCCTGATTTTAGGTGCCGATCGATCTTGACGTGTTTGAATCGCGGCTTCTCGTTTCGTAATTGGCTTTATCTGTAATTGCGTTTGCTTAATAATATGCTCAATTGAATCTCTCATGTTTCATTTTACATGTGTTATGAATTTGTTAATAATATATTTATACGATCGTTTCATCATTCGTTTTTACCTGTGACTTCTTCTTAATGTCATGTTTAATATCGTATTTTTCCTTGTAATCGTATGATCTGGTGTAGATAATTCATTCAGTTTCTCATCGTGATTTATGAGATACATAATATGAATCTGTAAATATCATACAAGATATCTCTCTTTGTGCTTTTTCATTCTCAATCAAAGCCAATCAAATTTCCCCCAAATTTATGAAATTCTTTCTCACTGGATTTCCTGCAGGATTATTGAATGTTCTAATGGAGTCAAAAGCTGGCAAGAAGAAGTCTAGTAGTAGTAAATCCTTGTTCTACGAAGCTCCTTTAGGTTACGGAATTGAAGACGTACGACCAAACGGTGGACTCAAGAAATTCAAATCTGCTGCTTACTCCAACGTAAGTTTCTTTCAATTCATACTTTTTTCCATGAAATTCAACCATCACTTCCAATATCTTACCATCTTTCTTCTTCTACTTCTTATGTTTTATCTTCCAGTGTGCTCGGAAACCATCCTGATTCTCTCTAATCTGCGCTTCACAACCTTTCTTTTTCCGCTTCTCGAGTTTTTCCCTTTTTTCAATCTTACTTTTTTGCAAAAAAAAATTCTCTTTAAACCAAAATGACAATTCAAATCCAACAATCCGCCATTGGATTCGAAGGCTACGAAAAACGCCTTGAAATTTCCTTTTCTACCCCTGGCCTCTTCGCAGACCCAAAAGGCCTCGGACTCCGTTCCTTAACCAAAACCCAACTCGACTCAATCTTATCCCCTGCTCAATGCACAATCGTTTCATCTCAATCAAACGATTCATTAGATTCATACGTTCTTTCAGAATCCAGCCTCTTCATATACCCATACAAGATCATAATCAAAACATGTGGCACCACAAAGCTCCTCCTTTCAATCCCACAAATCCTCCATCTTTCTTCCCATCTTGCCCTCACTGTCAAATCCGTACGTTACACACGTGGGACATTCATATTCCCAAATTCACAACCCTTCCCACATCGTAGCTTCAACGAAGAAGTAATCACCCTCGATGGGTATTTTCGTAATCTTGGATTGGATAGCAAAGCATACGTCATGGGTGATGTCGACAATAGTCAAAACACTAAAAATTGGCATGTCTATTCTGCTTCAACTCCAAGTCAACCCGTTGACCAAACAGTTTACACACTCGAAATGTGTATGACGGATTTATCCAAGAAAAGCTCTTCAGTCTTTTTCAAGAATCAAACAACTTCTTCTTCTTCTATGACTGAAGTTTCGGGCATTAAAAAGATTCTACCCGGGTCAAAAATTTGCGATTTTGAGTTTGACCCATGTGGATACTCCATGAATGGGATCGAAGAAGATGCGATTTCCACCATACATGTGACACCTGAAGATGGATTTAGTTACGCTAGCTTTGAAGCTGTAGGGTATGACTTTAAATCCTCTATTGATTTGACTCTTCTGGTTGAAAGGGTGTTAAGTTGTTTCAATCCCAATGAGTTTTCTGTATCGATGCATGGAAATGAGTTGAAGGGTTTTAATGATTTGAAGATTAAGGGTTATGGTGTTAAAGAATCGAGCTTTGAAGATCTTGGAAATGGTGGTGTGATGATGTATTATGGGTTTGTTAAGGAAAGTCAAGGGGGGTGTTGTGGGTCCCCTAGATCGATTCTGTTTGGGTCGTGGAGTGAGAATGAAGATGAAGAAATGGTGATGAATTGTTGCACACCAAGTATTTGATGAAATTGAAATTGATGATTTGTAATAATGTGTGTTATTTTTCTAGTGTGGTTGTGTTTGTCTTGTTTAGTTTGTTTTATGAACTTGTTTGAGCATTAATAAAAAATTGTGGTGTGTTTTACTATTTAGAATTTGATATCTAGTTTGTTTTTGGTGGATTAAATAATGTTTACAAAAAGAAAAGAGGCATATTTTGTTTTGTGTTTGTGTGAAAGTGTGGGGTGGTTTTTGATTCGAAGCTTTTGGTAAGTTGGGAATATTTTTGAGTGGATAGAAAAAGAGGGGAATAACTAAATGCCATAAGGCTTTGGAGATGGAATTTATTCTGGCTTTTGGTAAAAAACATAGTAATACAGTTATAAATTTGTATCCCGTTTGATAGTTACTGTCCGGAAAAGTGATGTCTGGTAAAGTGCTGTCTGGGAAAGACATATCTTACCGGGAAAGACCCCTTCTTTTGTGCAAATCAAATAGTCTTTCCGGTCCATTCAACCAGAAAGATTTGTTTGGACCTGGAAAGATGCATATCAAACGGGCCTAAATGTAATAAACTTGTAGGAAATTTTTTAAAAAACTTATTATACCCTAATGCCCAAAAGCATAATTATATTTTTTGGGGTTGACTAAAAAGACATCCCATTTTATCATATAGACACTCTCATTAAATTTTGAAATATTTTTATTGGTTGAAATTTTTGGGTGAAACCTAATATATGAGAAAATTCCAATGCTGAATCTATAAGACCGGAGGGAGTGGTGTCAAGTTTGTTGCGTTTCACGTAGACGGCATCTAGGATTTGTCACGCTGTTTCAAAATTTTGCCATTTACTATGAGTTGCCATTTTTGCATGTTAAAAAAAATTGAAAAAAAAATAAATTAAAAAATAAAGGCATTTTGATTGGTTTGTCAAAAAGTCAAATTGGAGGAAATGGACGAGAATGCTGGGTAACTTATTTTCTGAAAGAGTCGCCATTTTTGTCATGTTGAGGGCACGGCGCAGTGTGCCAAATGTAAGCTAGGCAAATGTAGAGTGGTTGCCGAGACCACTCTGCATAGCCTAATAGAAACACATATGGTTAAGTGAAGCCAAAAAAACCAAATAGTCAATAATACATGTGCGGATTGGTCCCGTCGAACCAATAAAAAATCTCTTGGTTTGCAAAAAGGGAAGTTTAGCTAAACCAGTTGAACGCTTTAAAAACTGGACTACTTGACCGCTAAAATCATATTTTTACAAAAGAAGAAGAAGAAATACTTTGCACAACTGGATCTTTTTCCTTTTTAAAAAGTCCATTTGCAATAATCATTTAGTCATTTCCTGCAATTCACGCAATAAACAATGTGGGAAGAGTAGTGTTGTTTTTCTTCTTATAACCTTTTAACATTCATTTTTATAAATCAAAACTTACATCTCTTTCTTTTTATCTCCCAGGTGGGATAAGTTTTGATAATATTAATCATTTGTTCATTCATTTATCCAATAATATAAGATATGTCCTAAAACAATTTGAAGATATGTCTTGAATTTTTTATTATATAAATACTACATAAAATCAGAAAATTAAGTGGACCTAGGAGCCAAATAGCTTTGCCACAAAAAAAATTTAGATATACCCAACTCGTTATAATATATACATTTAAGCTTTTTTTTTTTTTTTAACCTTTATATTATTATATACCAACAATTTTTGTTCTACTTTTAGGCAAACTCTATGCAACTTTAAAAACCCTACATTTCTTTAATAATGCTATTCATTAAGTTAATATGAAAAATACAAGTTATTTTCTTTGTAAAATACTTTTATAAGAATAGACCGTTAACTTCTATGTGAGTACTTCTTCATCTTCTTCTGAAATGGGATCTCAATCTTTTTAATCATATAATTTTTTTTTCTTGATTTGTAGAGAAAAATATTGTATGGATATGGTGAACACTTAAAGAAGTAGACTTCATGGATGTATCACTACCCAGACAAACAAACAGACAGATATTAAATTATGATAGGTTCAATTTTGTTGGTTTAATGTACTAGAATTTGAATGCTTTTGCAATTGTAACGGTGGATCAATGGAAGTAAATTGTAAAACAATTTGTTCAATATAACATCCTACTTCCATTTGGATAAGGTCAATTAATAAATAGAAATGAACTTGGATTTGTTTGTTATGTATCTCTAACAATAAATAGGATCAAATGCAATAAATAACAATCATTTGTTAGGCCCTAAATATGTTTAAGATAATTGTAGAGAGAGGATGGTTTGAATACAATATATCGTTTTTCCAAATCCTTTTGTAAGAAAAAATTGTAAGTAGAATATATGAAGAAAAATAATTTTTTATAGGTATTCTATTTACTTAAAACATAACATGGTGTGTTTACATGATGCTAATAAACCTTTTTATGTTAAAGAACTCTACCAACAAGATGAATAACACTAATTTGATCTAAGAACAAAATGTTCATATAAACTAAAATGTTCTCTCTATCTAATTTTAAGCAATGAACTCATAATTACATAAACACTTAATGAAGAACGATACCCATATATACATGTATTCATGTCTATTTATGTCTAAAAGGTTTAAACAATATTAGACGTTACATTCGATGAATCAGTATACTTTTGTATAATTTGTCCAACTATGTGGAAAAATGATTTTAGTTCCTATAGCTATCGAAGGTGACGAGTTGGAAAAAAACAAAGGAAATAAGGCCTCAACTTTTATGTGAATAAGCGAATAGAACACACTATGTTAGAAATTACAATTATAGAAATAAATTGTTATATAACACAAGTATATAGTATATAAGATAGTATGTTAGAAAGTATAGTATATAAGATTTATCTTGGAATTTACATCTTAAAGTCCCACTGAAAAGCTTTGAAAAGAAGATGGTAATGTTTGAAGTATGTGCTCATAAGAATAAGACAAGATGTATAAATTGCAAATTGTCTGCAATGACGATTGAAAATAATGTAATGTAAATTAAGAGTATTATAGAATTGGAAAAGTATGTTGCTATGTATCACACCCCTGGCCGACGGCGGAAACATCGGACTGTGCGATGTTAGAGTGTTGGATCACAGATATTGAACATACATTGAACATTACAAAAAAAATATATATATAACATAGATATCACTTACATTATGGTATAAATATTACATCATAATATGTTTTGGAAACACTCGAATTTCTAATACAAAAGCCTCATTGACATTTAGACATAATTATAAACGATAACAAGCTTTCAGTAGTTCCATCGATCAACTACTGCTTCAAGGAGTATGAGCTTCCATTTCTTGGTTTCCTGGGGATCTTCTTCAAAGTGAAGTTTTAGAACCGATTTTGATACTGTTGTGAGAGGTAGTGATAGTGCCATAAGACAAGTGTTGATTGATACTGAAACATCTAAAAAATCAGAGTAAAATTTTCAGTTTTTCCAAAACAACCCCAAGACAATAATTGTTTACAAAACCATTGTTTCAAAAGTGATAATCGATAATCAGAGTATCCCAAAATCCAAATAACATAATATCTGAAGGATGTGCATGATCACGCCTTCGCCTTGCCACGGTCATCTGAAGTACCTGAAGCAATAAACTGAAACTGTAAGCCAAAGCTTAGTGAGTTCCCCAAAAGTACCACTACACAACATGACATATAGAAACATTGCATGTTGGGTCCAATCAGTCATCAGGCTGGAATATCCGTGGGTCCATAGCCATCGAGCTGGATTACCCCTGACCCAGTTAGTCACCGAATTGGAATGCCAATATGCAACGGGTCCACTCAGTCATCAGACTGGAATACCCTCGGGTCCACAACCATCGGGTTGGATTACCCCTAGTTTGTTGTCTCATACACATAGCAGTAAAGCCTCAACCCAACCCATAACATGTCGACATATACATAACAGATAACATATAACAAGTTAACAAAAAACGGGCAGATCTACAGATCACTACCACATAGCAACATCCTATATACCAGGACATAGATCTAACAGATCACTACAGCATAACAACATCCTCTATACCAAGATACATAATCAAATGGGCCGGCATTGGTGCCTTCGACCCGTAAGAACAGTGAGGAAAACTCACCTCTCAGTCTGATAAGATTACTGAACTGGACACTGCACCGAATATCAACTCTGTCGGTCACTTATTCATTGGAACATGACCAAACTTAACTTATAATCAAAATACCCAAAATACCCCTAGGTCAAACATGGTCAAAAACAGGTCAAAGGCAAAAAGTCAACCGAATCAACTCAGCTGAGTACACCCTCTGTACTCAGCTTGTGTGCTTACCGTACTCAATCCTTGACCAAAAACGAGGGCTTTAACCTCGTACGCTCAATGTGCCTGGGGTACGCTCAACGTACTCGACTGCACCCCTATCCTTTCTATTAAGAGCTTATTTCCTTAAGCTATTTCATCCAAATTCCAAATCTAGCCCCCAAATGATTTCCTTAACCATCAAGTTTCCAAATTTATGGTCTTGCATGGCTATTAAGTGCTCAATAACAAAAACCCTAACTTCTTAACTCATTAAGACATCCTAGATCATGCATGAAAGGAAACTAATGATCAATATCACATTTTTATGCTTCTAAACACTCCAAAATGTCTGAAAAGACAGCTCATATGAATTAGAGTAACCCATACTCATAATACCAAACTTATGGGACCAAAATAACACAAATCCATGGCTAAACAAGATCTAATCAATACTTCATCAAGTTCATAGCTTTTTACCTTCAAATGGATTCAAATGATGATGAGATTTTGGATCCAAAGTGTTCCTCTCTTCTAAGATGGTCTCCTCTTCTTTCTTCCTCCTTCAAGATCACCAAAACACACACATATGGCTCAAGATGCTCTCAAATGGATTAGGGTTTGCAAAGGGGTTGAAATGGGGCTTGGAGGCTGATGAAAGAAAGAATTATTGAGAGTTAAGGATGTTTAAATAGGATCTAAACCCTAAA